AGAAATAAAATCTTTGTTCTTTTGCTTGAAATACTTAACATGCTATTGACCTCATCTTCTGTACTGATTCAGTGTGGCTGTCACATCAGACTAAATGTCTGTGCAAAGACCCTCTTCAATCTAGGAAGTTTAGAGAAGTCCTGAAACATTAGATAATATTTCTTGTATACATATTTTGTATTTATTATAGAAATATATTTTGATTTTATGCCACTGGAGAATAAGATAGAAGACAGAATCATGTAATAAACGATCCAAAGTACATAGTGCCTAAATTGCTGCCTCAGCAAGCTGAAACAGAATGAATGTTCAAATCTCTTTTGATGTTCAGCTGCTAATAGCACTTACATTTTATTTATTATCCAGCTTGCATAAAATATCAAATTTAAATTTTTGTTTTGTTTTAGATTTAATTTTTAAAATTTTCAGATTTTTGTAGAATTATATGCCTAGTTCTTTAATATTAAACTTTTCTCCAGCCAAAAATAATGCTTAAAAATATCTAAAATATTTCCATATATTATGGTAAACAACAATAAAAAAATCTTCCTTATGTTTATTTGCAGGCAATGCTTAAACTTTCTGTACGAATTTTAACTCAGGAGGATAAACTAAATTATACTCTCATCATTGGCAACATCATTGCACTGAAAATGTGTCTCAGGAGGGCACATTCAAGGGAATTCCACAGTCAGTTGTGATTTTCTTTATTTCTGTTTATAGGAATACTCTCATATAAAGCTTGTAGAAAGTAGTTATGCTTTTAATCCAATTTATAGTGTAATGTAAATATAAGATATTTATGTTTTTGAGTTTGCAATCTTTGGAAGAACTTGGTTGCTATGACAGGTAAATAACCAAGCATAAGAAAAATAATCTCTCCTCAGAAATTCAAGCAAATCTTGGTTTCCCCAGAGTTACGGCAATTAGTACAGATAAAAAGTGTTTAAAGATTTTGAATGTTTTTGACACACAAAAAATAGTATCAAGTTCAAATCAGTTTATATGAGACAAATGAAAAATGGTGCTCTAGAGATAGCTACCTCACCTCTAACCCAATCCCCTCAAAAAACAATCTGATAACAAACTCAAATGTTTTATTTTTTTGCAATTTGCAAAAATTTCACCAAAGATGTGGTGTATCAGTAACATCATGTAACAGCAGACACTGTTTTATTGCTGTGAGCTACAGAACCTTATCTTCACAATGTCTTTCTAAAAGGACAGGCTTTAATTTGTAATGTTCATTGCTGCTAGGTGATATGTGCCAATAGTTTTAGACTTCCTTCCAATAATAAATCAAGTGATAGATCCTGGTTGTTTGCCTCCTAATTCTAAAAAAGCATGATAAGTCTCATAAATCAAGATGAAATTTCTATCCACTTCAATTTACTCAGTTGCAACATCTCATGAGAGAATCTAGTTACCTTGGGGTATTCTCTGTTTTGGATGGTGAGATCAGATGCATTGCTATAAAATCAGTTTGTTTCCAAGGAAAAAATTGGAAAGAATCACTCTTTTCCAACATTGTTTTCAATTCTTGGCCTGGATATATCGTTAATGAGAATTAGACTATTTGTGTATTTCACCCTTCTTGCTTCATATAAGCTTTCATGACTTACTTATGTCTCTACTGAATGTAGTCTCAAATCATTAAACATTCAGTATCTACGAAAATACGCTTGTTTGCTTTAAATGTAGGAATTCTGTGGTAGTGGTAGCCTTGCCATCCAGGGTTAAATGAACAGGGCTTTCTGCATGGTCTTCATGCTATTCACCTACCTGCAGATTTACATTCCTGACCTTAGCTCCTGAAAATAATTAAGGAATACCACCAGCAGGTCAAAGGAGGTAGTTCTGTCCCTCTATTCTGCTCCACCTGGAATACTGCATTGAGTTCTGAAGCCCCAAGCAAAAAAAGGACATGAAGTTGCTGGAGTGGGTCCAGAGGAGAGCCACGAAGATGATCAGAGGGTGGATTACCGCACCTAAGAGGACAGGTTGAGAGAAACAGGGCTTTTCAGACTGGAGAGGAGAAAGCTCTCCTTGCAGCCTTCCAGTACCTGAAGAGCACCTACAGGAAAGCTGGGGAGGGACTTTTTACAAGGGAGTGTAGTGACAGGATGAGAGGAAATGATTTTAAGCTGGAAGAGAGCAGATTTAGGTTGGATATTAGGAAGAGATTCTTTACTATGAGTGTGGTGAGACACTGGAAGAAGTTGCCAAGTGAGGCTGTGGATGCCCCTCCCTGAAGGCATTCAAAGCCAGGCTGGATGGGGCTTTGAGCAAGCTGGTCTAGAGGGAGATGTCCCTGCCTACAGTATGGGATTGGAACAACATGATCTTAAATGTCCCTTCCAACCCAAACCATTCTATGATTCTATGATCCTCTAAAGGTTTAAAGATTTTCCATCTAGTTGTCCTCCTTTTAATGGTGTTTATATAGAGCTGACATTGGTGAATTAATGCAGAAAGAACTCTAGAAAAGCACTGAATTGAAATATTTAGTTCCCAGGGGCTGATCTCCTTTGGAAGTGGGTCTCCAAGGAACTGGCTGAGGCAAAGGACGGTATCTTGTGATGACACTCTAGACACTCAAGGCTGCTTTCTGAAACTGTACGCTTCCAAAGGAATTTCATACGGGCACTTGAAAATCTTCGCTATACTAATTGCATTTAATATCTTTGCCTTTCTGCTGAGCATCCTTGGAGCTGGTCTTGTGGACATGTACTGTGACAAAACTCACATCATTCCACCATGCCTGCTGGCTCTTGCGACATTGCTTCTTTAAGCATGCAATCCAAGAGTGAAAGACTGCCAAATCAGTCCAAAATGGAGGCAGGTATAAGAAACAATCAAGAATAATGATAATAAGGAAAATAAGAATAGGATCTGCTCTTACTGCTTCATGAGTAACAATATATGCTTTGAGTCCATTTGAATGTTTTCTAGGAAGACTGACATATAAATTCTGGACATTTTCTGCTTTTATTTGCCTAAGAAAAGTATCCAGTGTTTCAAGCATCAGTTTGATTTCGTAAGCTATTTTAAACACTGTGTACATCTGCAAATGTTTGTGCCATATAAGCAGAATAATACACAACACAGACATTAATTTCATTTCGCGCAGACAATATACTACAATAATTAAATACATTTTTATCATAAATAAAAATAGAAAGCTCCAGACAAAATTAGAATGTTCTATTGTCTGTATTAATTAAACTTATGTGCATTTTATTTTAATTGCTCTTCATTCTCCAGAAATCAATTGAATTAAACTCACACTGTATGGAGAACTTACAGAACCTCAAAGGTTTCAATATGTTCATCCATGTAGATGATAATCTGTGTAAGACTTCTACTCTTTTTCAGAAGAGTTAGCATTTAAACTTAATATCCTTAATTTCTATTGAAGTGCTATAGCTGTATATCAAGAAAGAATCAGACTGTTTATTGTTAGTATATTTCCCCCCTAAATAATAACCTTTTAGTGCCAATAGTTAATGTTTAGTTAATAGTTAATGTTAAAAGCCTGAATAGAAGTATGAATTGTCAAATTACAGAGATGTTTGTAAGACTAACTAAATTTGGCATGAGTCTTAGGATCACTTTAGAAGTGGATTTTTCCCATGGGCTAATGAAGATAACAATTATGCTTAATTACTGTGCCAATAAGATGCCATCACAAATTTCTCAGAATATGTTTTCACAGAAGACAGGGGTTACTTCTGTGCTAATTTCCGAAGTTGTTTTATACATAAACTACCACTGGGTGGAATTAATTTGTCATTTGTTAATTTCAGAGGAGAGACAAGTACTATGTGGAGCAGGTATTTTAGCCTTTATTTACGCTAAAAATTGTCATTATTTCAACATGCCTCTGCTGCCAATTCCGAAATGCAGGAAGGCAAGGATACTTGCAAAATAAAGATGGTGTATGGAGGGTAGGAAGATACAGAGTTAATATACAGGAAAGGTTTATTCTTTCAATATTTTATTATTATTATTATTTTTAACTTAATGTTCTGTGGGTGTAATGGAAGAAAATGAATGTCAACAGCCTCTCTGTGGAATGTACTGGAGGCTCATAGACATGAAGGAGAGAATGCTTTAAAGAGGCAACTCCTTAGCAGTTGGGCCTATTTAAAAGCATCTGCAGGATTAAGCCCACAAGGCTTAGCATACTTGAAAAAAAGTTGCCATGAATAAAGTGCATTGAGTGGGATGTAAACTTTCCTCAAATTTATTTGAAGTTACTGTTTCCATCATGAGCTGGCAAGCTATCAAATGTAGTTGTTTAGATGTAAGAGAGACACAGAGCTATGCAGATGTTGAGCAATAACTGATAAAGATCAGGTTAGTTTGGAGGGAAAAATCCCAGTAGCCTAGCACAGTATCGCCATAACACAAAGCTAATTTTAACCTAGCAAGTTAAACATTTCCAGGGAAGACAAACAGTACAGAGAAACAAAACGAGGTCAGGAGATTAAAATAACAATGCCAAATATAAGTGCATGAAAGCCAGGACTTCAATGAATGCTTTGCTTCTGATTTTTTTTAATAATAGAAGAGTAGCTACAAGCATTTTCAGATTCACTTTATTCTTACAGCTACTATATCCTGTTTACATTTATGATCAGCTGAATTACATTCAGCAATACTCACCACAGCATTATATCTCACAATATTTGTATGAGTCTCATCGGTTTTGGCCCATACCACTGCACTCTCATATTCGCTCTGCTTGTCTCCCAAAACTATATAGGGAGAGCAGGCAGACAGACACACTACCCTTATCTCTAATACATCTCTGGTACATTATGTCTACTAAGGAAAAGGACCTTGTGTAGAAAGGCAGTACAAATAGATAGCCAGCCTACTCACTTGCCTGTATTGCTTCAGGTCAGAAGTCATGTGCTGTTCTGGCTTATTCAGGTGGAAAAGGTTAATAAAGAAAAGCCCTGTGCTGCCAGAATGCACAAGAGAAAAAACAGAGGGATAGAGAGAAATGAGACACCAGCTCATCACTGATGGAGTACCAACGCTTTAGCAGTCAAAGGTAGAGGAAAAAAGTGTCCAGTTGTGGCACAGAAAATGTTCTTGGAGGATTTGCTGTTAATTGACAATGGGAATAGGAAGGTAAATCTGAAGTTTCACTCAACCAAGAAACAGAATTTCAGTTACACTGCTTTGCATATCTTCAGTTTGTTCTGCACAGGAATGAAAGTGCTGCAGGGGAATCCCTGTAATATTTCCTAAAGATTCCAACAGACTGAAATTTACTCTGCATTTTTCCTTTGAAGAGGAAAGAGAAAAAAAACATGCAGGTTTTTTATATAATGCATTTAAGATAGTAAATGCTCACAAGCACCTGGAAAGGGACTATGATTGCTCAGAAGGGCTTATAACCTAGCAGTAAAATCTCAACAGTATGTTTGCATAGACCTGGACACTTTTCATTCTCTCAGCTTGACACTATCAATTTCTTTCCTTCAAAAATCCACTTGCCCAAATCTGCATCCGGAGAAGCTGGTTGTTAAGTAGTTGTCAGTCAGTTGCCATACTGATACATATTGCAGCCAAGCAATTAGCCAGATGAAAACTTCATCTAGTTCCTTGAATGAAGGTTGAAGAATAGGCTCTTGCCTTTAATGAATGAATAAAGATTTCATTTAGTCTGTTTTATTCTTAAATCAAGTTCTGTTTTCCTGAAAATTATTTTAACTGTATGCCATTGCTGAATGTCATAAATAGAAGTAATTAAAAGATACGGCATGTTATTTCCCCCAAAGTGAAATCACATCTTACTGTGTTCATAAGCTTTTTAGACAATAGCTTTATAACCAAACAGCTGTTGCTGTTGCTAATTTTATCCTCAGATTCTCAGAAGGTGATTTCTTTTAAAAATAATGATATTATCTTTTGAAATACTAAATAACCTACAAATAGATACATGATATAGATGTACAGTTAAAACAAAAGGGCAATGCTGCACAAACACAAATGGATACAGACTGAGAATAAGTTTAGGCTGGAAATAACAAGGTTTCTAACAATCTAGGGGTTGTGGCTCAGAAGCAGCCTTACAAGAAAAAAAGACATTCAACTTTGTACTGGGGGCAAAGAAGAATTTAATTTCTGGAAAAAAAAATCCTGCTGTCTCAGCAAATGTTGCTGTTGAGAAAAAAAGTCTTCAGTGTTCTTGCTCAGCATGAGAGGGTGTTAGAATAAACTTTTCTCCTTTTCTTCCACTATTACTTTGTCTTTGGCTTTATAGATTTATAAGGATAGCCTCCTTTAACAACATTTGAAGACTTCTGGATCTTCAACATTTCTTTTTTTTTTCTTTTTTTTTAAAACATGATATGAAGGAAACAAAGATAGGCTTGCTCTCAGAGCTCTCACTCTTGGATGCTTGGTCTAGATTATTCCCAGCATTTCTTATATATTTTCTTCCCAGTAGAAGCTCCCATTTTTATGAGTAGAAATTTTGTTCCTGAGCAAATTCAATTAATCTTTGACTTTTCTCTCCATGTGAACTACTCTAGCCCAAGTGAAAAACATTGAAGGTTATTTCCAAGTTATTTTGTTAGCTAGTCTTTCAGATGAGCAAGCCTTCTCTTCAGTCCATTGTTTCTCCCATGCTAGCCTTTATCTGAAAGCATTTCAATTTATAACGTTTTCCTGTTTGCTGTAATAACTGAAAGAGACTGTATTCATGCCACAAGTCATATCATTGACATTCCTCCTTATTCTTTTTTTTCTTTTTTTCTTTTTTTAATATTTTTCCTTTCCTTTTATGTATTTATTTGTACTCTATGTCTTCTTCAAGGACTGCAGCATTTTTTCCTGGCTGTTATTCTGCATAAGTGTCAGGTCTTTGAATGCATATCTTAGTTATCTTACTTTGCTGTACCAAAAAGATATTTGATTTTTTATGAAGTCTTAGAACAACACATTCATGAAAAATGACTGGACTCTTTTCCTACTCAATTTCTATCTTTTGGAGTGCACATTCTTAGAAAATTTATCAGACTTTTCTGATCATAGGTCAGTCTCTGCCTGTTGCCTCTACTGCACAGAAAGAAAATCATACATCTCACACAATCATACATCTTACTGGGAGAGGCCATAACCTCCATTTTTAGGAGGACTCAGACCTACTGAAGATGCCGTAATACCTAAAAATGAAAAATTTTCTTTGAAGCCATTCACTTCATTCTTCTCTGCAAAGGCTTGAAAACATTGTAAGTATTTGAATTCTGCATTTTTCCTTCATTTTACACTTTACAAAAGACCTACCTCAACCTGCTCCCACACAGACAGATATGAATGCACATATAAGATCTCAAGCAAAAGCTACAGGTGCATCTGTGTTTTACTACAGCTTGCCAGTTTGCCTGCTTGGAGTTCATTATTTCAGGAATAATACAATAATGTGAAAAAGAATTTCAAACATTAAATTACAGATTAATAGTGATGATATGAAAGCAACAGCAAAGTTTATTTTTCCTTCATATTCTGCTACAGACTTTATTGTGATCCTCAATAACCCAGTGTTTCAGTTCTCCCCAAGAAGAGATCCTTCACAAATGCACGAGAAGCATAAATTCCCCACTGATTGGGTGATGTTTATATGTTAAACTTACAGGGAAGCACAAACCCAGCAGTATTATGCATTTCTCTGCAAGTTCTGCTGATTCTTTTCCTTGATGTATTTCCTTGATCGTGTTTAGAAAACCAGCAGTGTGTTTCAGTCACCAACTTAAAATTGTTTGAATGTTTCATTTTTCCAGTCTCAATTGTTAGTATTGTGCATAAAATAAGATTTTCAATTTATTTTTTTTTATATGTGTATATAAAAATCTGTAAATAGAGCCTTTTAAAAATACTGCCTCAATAGTCATTTTGAATCCAAACTTCCTGAAGTCCATGGCATGAAATGCTAGTTATCTAACAGTAGAAGTTTGAACATATTTGGCTAATATTTACAGAGTTGTTGGCAGGCTTTGTCCTTCATTTAAACAAAAACAACTTAATTTGTAAATAGAGACATTTATAGATCTCTAGGTTTTCTGAAACAACAAAATGTAACAGTTACATATTTTACAAAAAAAAAATCATTCTTCACTCACAACAGAAAATATTTTACTACAAAAGATAATGCTGGATTCATTAGAAAGCTATTGCAACACCAGCATTCAAAGAGATTCTAGATGCTACCACAGTGTTCATGCTTCAGTGTTATCTGAGCACCACCAGCTATAATGCATAATAATCTTATAATGCATTGACAGCTTACACCCTAATGGTTCTGATGGAGCTGTTATGATGTATTGTGTCATATCCTAACAGAGATGTAATGCTAAAAACAGCTGTATCTTGACAAGCTCCACACAAATCAGGTCGGAAGGATCTATCACTCTGTATGCTGACAGCGTAAATAAGCTAAAAAGTTTGTATAAAATGAAAAATTAAGTGCTCGGGAGAGGTCCTCTTTAGTAATAATAATAATACATGTTCTTATCTAGATTCTTCTGTCTAAAGATCTTGAAAGATTTTGATTAACTGAGCGTCACCAAAATCTCTGTGGGCTAGGAAATATTTTAATTTCCTCCATCTCACACTGAGGTACAGATACGTTCTATGATTTGTCAAGGTCACCCTGCAAAGCTATGGGTGGAAAGTCAGCGCTCCTTGCTTCAGCCCTGAGCTTTAGGCAAAAAACAATGCTATTGTTTAGAAATATTAACAAATTGAATTGCACCCAGTTATCATGTCATTCAAAGACCATTTAGTAATGCAAATTCATACTAATTCTAGTGCTAATTCTTCAGTACAAGCAGAGGACAAAACTTATGTCTTTGCCCTTGCTGTTCTTTGATTCCATTCATTAAACTGAGAGTGGAGATATTATTTGCATATAATTTTTGGAATTTAATTTTGAGTCAGGGTGAGAGCAAAAGAAAGATTTTGTATTCTCCTGCCTGTTGGTTCAGAGGTGTCGCAAGACTGTGCCTTTACATAATTTAATGCAGTCAGCCTGACTGTAGAAAGAACTGCAGCATCATAAAATAGAAAACTAGATAGAAAGTGCAGGTGCAAAGCAAAATGAGATTCTTGTATTAGTACAGTCTTTAGCTTTCCCGTGGGGAACTGAAGTTTTGAGACTTTGAGATTTAGGAGAAAAAAAAATGTTTTAAATCAAATGAATATTAAAATTGGTTGAAATCTTCTGATCTAAGACACTTGAGAAAAACTGGAAAACAAGGAGATAGATGCACTGTAGTTGCTGCTCTGCTAGTGCTATTATAAAGAGGAAGGGTACAAACAGCAAAATATTTTCAGAATAATTGGTGGAGAATGCAGCTGAAATATCTGTGTAATAGGTATAACATCCACCTTACCGTGCTACCTCTCATGCTATCTATCAGCAAATCCTTTGCTGCAATAACTTAAATAGACAACATTCCAACATTCTTCAGAACCATGCCTGAACATGTAGCATCATCTTAATTTCCCCTCTCAAAGCACAAGCCACAAAGTATTGCCTTCTACCAGTGCAAGTCAGCTGGAGCAAAAGGATTCCCTGTGGCTTCTTCCAGCACTCAAAGCAGGCAGCCTTGCTTTGTCCTTAATCATATTTAGTTATGACATGAAGAAGAGTTTAAAACGGACACCTGAGAGATGACAGATAATGTTTTAAAAGACTTTGACACACGTTTGAAGAACCAATAGTTTATCCCTTTCACATCATTATACTAAAACATAATTGCTGCTGTAGCTCATATGAGGCTTATGAAGTCATGTAATATCAAAACCTAATGAGCAGTTTAATACATGTGCTCTATAAGGTATAAATACAATAATTTCCAGATCACATCCACAAGAGCTGCTTAATGGTCAGTAAACTAGCAGGAAAAAATCCACGGCCTAAGGGGATGAGAGACTTAATGTCAGTTAATAACATTTCATGCAGCATATACATGTACGCTTCCCCAAGAGAAATGCAAGAGGATAAAAGGATGAAGAGATAATAGATATTCCAATGGCTATTTTCTACTGGCTTGTCTGCTTATTAGAGAAGAGGAAATAATTCAAAAAATAATTTATTCAACAATTTTTTCTAATCAGCAATAAAATTTTCTTTATTTTTTTAGTATTTGAAATGACTTAGGAAATGTTTTCTGCACACAAATACTGGGTCTGAAATAACTTCAGAGATTTGCTGTGTAAGTATTCAAATCTAATCAATTACAGAGGGAGGGAGAGAGAGATTGAGGCTTCAATTAATGTCAATTTAAAAATCAGATATTTGCTTTAAATTTAGCAGTACTTTCAGCTACACTGAAGTTTAATATTGCTACTAATACATTTAAGAGTGTGAGACGACAGTTAATTTACTTGCATATTACTATTAACACAGTGTTTTGTTTCTATAAACCTAATTGATGCAATGAGCTTCATGTGATCATCATTTTCCATCAAATCTAAACAAATGCACAATAGTTTTTAAGAAAGCAATTATTTTTCTAGAATTGTTTTTCAGTATTTTTTTAGGAATATACAGGGCAACACTTTAATATGTTCTTAATTTTATTGCTGTTTGGTTGTCATTAAAATATGGCTTTCAAAGGCAACAGGAGGCTTTCTAAGGCTGGATATTCAGGAAATTCACAAGGTGTGAATGATGCTTCAAGACCGTTCAAAATGAAGGAGAGATTATTATACTTAACAGGTGGAAGTGGTTCAAACATACCTTTTCTCTTTGATATCTGTTTATTATTTTCCCTATAATCTCTTTGAAGCAAGGATTTTAAGGTTTCCTGCACCCTTCTATTAATTCTCTAATTCATTTATATAAGTATTTCTTATTCTGGAAAGAAGCACCAAAACATTTTACAATATGTAACCTCGTGCCATAATCAAATGGCTATTGCTTTCAGAGTCCTGCATAAACATAAGTTGGTAAATATGTGCATGACATAAGATGTGATATTGGATTCCATTTCTTCTACTGTGTTTGTTATTATTGTACACCCAGAAGTCTGCTGACACTTTGCTTTCTCCTTAATTTGCTGTGTATAGCTACCAGTGATGTTAGTTCATAACTGTTATTTATTTCACTGTCTGCAGAAACAAAACAGTGTAAGTTTCTTTCTCCATTCAATCAAGATATTACTATTTCCACTATTTTGAACAAATTGTACAGAATTCTTAGCACTGACTGAATTTTTCAGGACATATCACCTAAAAGTTTCTTGATCAGACAGCAGAACCTGTATGCTGTTTTGTTTTCTTCGTAGGAATCATTCAATCTTAATTCTTCCACACTGGATGAGGTAGCCTGAGTATTGCAAAGGAATGTGCAGTCCTCGTTCACAAAGACACAAAAATGTCAGTGTTGTTTAAAGAGCAGTTTGGACATAGTCTGAAGGATACCACATGCAAAACTCCTTGGTTGGATAAAATTGAGGATACTTAATAAATTTCCTTCAGGGAAAAGAGAGTGCTCATGCAACATTCGTTAGTGGACATCAAAGAGAGCACATAACTTGGCCACTTTCTGCAGTCCAATCCCCTTATACACATCCTCAGGTTTTATGAAGATTGTACACCTCTGCCCAGCCTTAAAAAGGCTAAGGGCTTATTTGTGAGAGCTTTACCCATTCATAAACCTTCCAGCACTGACTACTTCCATCTTCTCCAATGTCTGTGTAAAGAACTTTTTTTCACCAGCTTTAAACAAAACCTCAACTGATTTCAAGTTCCCACAGGCCTATTATTGTGGTATTTTGTGAACAACCAATGTGTATTCAGTTTATGACTTATCTGCATTCAGTCATATTTTCCCAAAGTCTTCTCTGCTTCTAAATGAAGTCTCCCAGCCTTTTAGTGTCGCTACAGAAGGTAGCATCTGCACTACTTCAATTTACTTGTTTTTCTCCACACTTCTTTCAACTCTGCTACGCCCTTCTTAGATGTCTAGACCAAAGTACATATAAGACTCTCTGTCCCTAGAGAGGTTCAAGGCCAGATCGGTTGGGGCCCCAGGCAGCCTGGGCTGGTATTAAATGGGGAGGGTGGTGGCCCTGCATGTGGACGGGGGGTTGGAGATTCATGACCCTTGAGGTTCCTTCCAACCCTGGCCATTCTGTGATTCTGTGATTCAGGATATGGGCACACCAATTATTAGAGTGTTTCTCTCTGTTTGGGTGCTCTTTGTTTGTAAGAGTAATCTCACCAAGTTTTCTAAACATGCCCAAAATTTTGGTGACTTATTGTCCACAACTTGACTAGGCAAGTCCAGTCTGTCTAATCTTCCTAACTGAGCCAATACTTTTGATGTACTTACTTCAAATTGACCTACATATTCTAGTCTATCTACTACAGAAATGCATCAGGTGTTGGAGCCTCAGTGCTCCAGTGCCAGTAGAAAAATTTCACCAAGCTTCTCTGGTATGTTTTTGTCATCCTCACATGCCCCTGCTGCATATTTGCTATGAAGCAGCAAAGTATGAGATGATCTGAAACACAGATATTCTAGAGTACATACATATAGAGCTGTTTGGTACCATCTTCACAAACTGCATAACCTGTGAGTGTTTAAATATATTTACTTCCTTCAGAAAAGCATGATGCACCAGTTGAGTTGACAAAGTGCAAATCATGCAGAGAACTGAAGCTTTACTCAGAAGAATCGAAGGGCAAGTGTGTAATGGGATATTGTCATACCGCTTCAGTCTGCAGCAGCTTCTTTCCCCTCTTAAGGACTTTAGAAATACTAGGTCCTTATTTTTTTGAAGTAGGCTTTCAAAAGGATAGAGCCATAATGACACTGAATTTTGTGTGTGCCTATATGTATGCTGCTCCTATGAAGAAAATATTTCAATTTTTGTACTTTACACAGGCTTTCAGAAAAAGAATGAGATGCACAGAAGTATAAATCAAAAGCTCTCTCTATCCAAAGAAGAGAGAGAGATTATCAATTGCTTTTTGTAATTAAAATGAATAGGGAAAATCTGCTATTTTACTTGAACTACTTAAGCTACAAAAAGAAGGTTTAGCTCTTGCACAATGCATTATATTTTAAAGCATTTACAAACACAAAGCAATAGCAAAACTGAATGATTTCTAACCCTTACAGAGAATCATACAAGTTTATATGCCTCCTAGTCTCTAACTTAGCCTATATTTCAAAAACATAAGAGTGTTTGGAGAGTAAAAAGTGAGCATCGCAAATTCTTTACCTCAAAGAATGCCTAAATTTGAATTTGGAATCCCTAACTCCCACAGATATTCTCCAATTGTAACAACCTTTAATAAGCTTGGCTCAGAAAACTGTAGATGTGTCATTTCATTCAGGAAAGGCAAAAAGATTTCTCTACAGGATTGAGCATTTTTTTTGTATATCAGAAAAGTTATTATCAATTTATACATCACAAAGGGCAAATCAGTCATTAGACATTAAGGCAGCTACTTTTTTTTTTTAAAGAGAAATGCCAATTAAATGCCTAAAACTGATACAAATGTCCAGAAGGAAAGATTCACGGCTTCATGACACCCAGTGAAACTAAGATCATTCCCTAGAATCTTGACATAGAAAGAAAATAGAACTCTAGTGGCAGACATCAAAATTTTCTTCTGCAAAAATATTTTGGTATAACTTCAGCTAGAGCAGTATGCATAAACATATGCTTATAAGTAAGCAATTATATTTCTCTAAACATCTATGATAGCAATTCTAGTAGTATCAACATTTCCAGCCATTCTGATTTCCGCATTCTGATGTGAGCAGTTCTAACAGATTCAGATAATGTCTGAGCAAGAACAAGCATGCTTCTTCTTCGCAGAGAATAAAGTTTCCTCTTTCCTAATAATTTTAAGAAGTTTATTCTTAAAAGTTATGCAATGATTTTTAAGTAGTACACTAGTATTTCTTAATAGTAAAGCACTATAAGAAATCTTGGCCATTATCACTCTTTAACTGAAAAGACAGAAATAACACTACCTTTATAACAGTTCATTAATTCACATCTGCACAAATAACTGGTTGGGAAGGAACACTGAAGTAGTATTTTGTACAGATCTATTAAACTCTCTTCTCAAAACTTGGGTTAATTGTTTGCTTGAGCAGAGAACCTTTGTCTTTTCTGAACCATTAACTAAGCTTTGTGCAGAAATTGAAACTCCAGAATCATGTACAAAATACACTTCTCACTCCGAGGTATAATTTCTTTATTAAAAAAACTAATAATATTAAAAGAACTCTAAATAATATCCAAAATATTGACAGAGAACTTGAACAAATATATTAAATACTAAATATACTAATGATTCCTTTACAGTTTTGACATTGGTATACATATATTTCCATGTGAGATTTTAACATAACACTTTCACATTTAGTATTTGGCAAACATATCACTGCGTTCTCCTTTGAAATCTATTCAAAGCCAATTAAACATTCTTTGTAGTCCACCTAGAGCTTTAAAAGATTTGGAAAAACTGCAGCAATGGTTCTTTTAGAATCATAGAATCACCACAGTAAGAAAAGACCTCCAAAATCATCCAGTTCAAGTATCCACCTACTACCAGTGTTTCCCCACTAAACCATGCCCCAACATTTAAAAATGTCTTGAACATCTCTAGGGATAGTGACTCAATCACCTTTCTGGGCAGCCCATTCCAGTACCTGACCACTCTTTCAGAGAATAAATTTTTTCTAGTATCCAACCTGTATCTGCCCTGGCGTAACTTGAGCCCATTCCCTCTCATACTATCAGTGGTCATGCAGCAGAAGAGGCCAAAACTCACTTTGTCACAACCTCCCTTCTGGTAGCTGTACATGGAGATAAAGCCTCCCCTGAAGCTCCTCTTCTCCGGACTACACAATCCCAGTTCCCTTACCAACTCTTTGTAAGACTTGTTCTCCAGATCCTTCACCAGCTGGTGAAGGATCATCACTCTTCTCTGGACAAGTTGCAGGGTCTCAGTGTCTTTCTTGTAGTTAGGGGCCCAAAACTGAACACAATACTCAAGATGCAAGAAGTTTAGAATTAGAGGCTCAGAAGAGCTAGATATGATCTCTGCAAACAAAGAAAACTTCAGATCTTTGCCTCTAACAGTTGTTCAATATACACATCACATCCCAACAGATTATAGGCTAATTTTTAGCCAGATATGAATATATTCGCCTTTATTCAAAATGGTACAGACATAGTTTCAACATACAAAATATCCATTCCTAGAGTTCTGTAAGACTGTCACTCTGCATGTCTGTCATTTTTCCCTGTTAGTCTTCCTAAATTAAAAAAGACCATAAGCTTAAGGTCTCCGTATCTAAGACCGAACGACAGCTTGAAGTTAATTTGTAGGTGTTAAGTTCTGTTGTTGTATGTGTTAGGTGTTAAGTTCTGGTTGTAGTGAATGTTTCCCCCTTGATCTGACATCTGAGTCCATGGAATATACTGAGAAAATTTTCCCTAGTAAAGTTGAACACACAAATATGGGAAACAATTGTTGAAGAACTCATTATATATGCAACTGAGCACCATTTATCCAGACTGCTTTGACCTCAACTCCAACATCTGAGCCAGTGCAATCTAAAACTCTTGCAATTTGATTTGTCAGATTATAATAATTATAATGTGAGGAATTTGCCAATATTCTGTTTATGAATTGTGGCAATAAGATATGTAGTTCTATGTAGGTTGCTCCCAAAGTAATGCCTTCCATTTATTTCCATGGAAACCTACAACAGACAAAAAGAGCACAATAACAGTATTTGTTAAAGCAAATTCTCAGCTACAAAGCATTATTTTTCAATGTTATCACCATTATTTCAAATATATTTTGACCAGTAATAAAAAAGAGCCTGCATGCCATAGTCATAAAAGTTTGCATGGCTTGCCATGGCTTGTCTTTCATAACACTGCCACCTCTGCTGAAACACACCACCTATCACTTCACTGTGCTACAGCCACTGTTTTGTTGCCATCAGTGTTCAGAAATCATCAGTGAATTCAGTGACACACCTTTGCTTCGTCTGCATTTACAAGTCAGACACCAAATTATTAGTCTGCCCCTCAGCTGCCATCTCTCACATGGCAACAAAATGTAATGGAATATTAGTAGGAAGTTCCAGCCTCTACTGCCAACATTCCCCTCTGACACTGCATGCCAACATAATAATTTAAGAGGCATTTCTTTTGGAGCTGCCCTTGTACATGGAGTGAATTGTATGATGTATCAGCAACCAGATGTGTTGGGAGGATGTTTAAAGAGATGAATCCCACTTGAATGTAAGGACTCTGGAATAATATTATATCACTACTAGAACAAAATCAATTTTTGTTTACTTTGTCTGAGGATGAAAGGAAAGATGTAGCATTATGAAAATAACTTCTGTGGCTTAACCTGGCTAAATACTACAGAGCCATTCACTTACTCTCCTCCACCTCACAGTGAAATGGGAGAGAAAATTGAAAAGTGAAAGAACTTCTGAGTTGGGATAAGGAAAATTTCATAAGAGGGAAAGGAAAGGGAAAGGAAAAAGGGAAAAGGAAAAGGGAAAAGGAAAAGGAAAAGGAAAAAGGAAAAAGGGAAAGGGAAAAGGGAAAAGGGAAAAGGGAAAAGGGAAAAAGAAAAGGGAAAGGAAAACAATAACACAAAGAATAAGCCAAGCAAGTCACGCAGAAAGCAATTGCTCACCATCATTTTACTGATGCCCAGCCAGTTCCCAAACATCAACGGCTTCCCTCTCCAGCTCCCCTTAGTTTCATTGTTCCACATGACATTGTATAATATGGAATATCTCTTTCACCAGTTTAGATCAGTTACCCTTGCTGTGTTCAGTACTAGCTTCTTGTGAGCCTCCAGGCTCTGTGTTAGCAAGGTCATATTGAAAGCTGAGAAATCCTTGACTCAGTGTAAACACCGCTCCTCAACAACTCGGTGTGTTATTAACATTAGTTCTCACCCTAAATTCAAAACACAACACCATACCAGCTATTAGGAAGAAAATTAACTCTATCCCAGTCAAAACAAGGCCAACAGCAAGTGCAGAGACAAAAATAAAATGAGTTGTATTAGGAAAACACAGTGGAAGGAAATGAGATATGCTTTTTGCCCTAAGAATACTACTGAAAAAGAATGTGATTTCACAAGGTGCAAAAAGAGTACCTTCAATACAGAGGAGGCATCAGAGTGCTAGGGAACATCTTCAAATATATAGTGGGTATTTTGGTACAAATTAAGCACCCTTCCAACACAAACCTTATCAGCAACAATGACCATAAACTGATACAAAAAGAAGTAGGACAACAAGGTGGGTTATTTTCAGCTCAGGTGATATCCTGATTAATGGCATTCAATACTTCATTATTCCCATTACTTGTCCACACTATCACAAGATATGTAAATTTGCTGCATTCCAAACACTTTTGGGAAAGGAATTCCAAAGCATTTTTTCTTTCATTTGGTTTGATTCTCCTCCCCACCAGCTTAATTTTATGTTTCACTTTTTGGATTGGAAGATGGAGATGGAGAAGGTGAGGGACCATAAAATTAAACATCTATTCTCCTTTTTTCACAAAATTAAGAATTGAATGTTGCTATAGAAAGTGTACGTGTTAAACATGGAGTTGAAAATTCAGCACAACACAATTATTTCTCTTATAGAATGGCAAAGCACATTGCCAGATTTGTACTCAGTTGTACAAGTATCATATGTCCTCTAAAACTCTAACAGCATGGCTATAAACCTAAATACTGATGCATTTACAGCACCAGCTAACTAAATGGCAGCCTATAGAGGCCAGTACTTCTCACCAACACAGCCAGTAAACAGTAATATAGAAACAGGTGTCAGATGATCATCTTCAACATTTTTCTGTGACAGTCTGAAATTAGTTTATGAATTAGTACCATTTTAAACTTAAAAGATAGGAAGAAATTACCTGAGCCAGGAAGATAATGATATTTGCTCAGTATAAGTAAGACAGGCAGAGAATGGAGACATGATATTTACCATTATCGTCATCATCGTTACTATTATTATACCACCCCACCCATAACTCAATCTGAAATTGTCCTTGATAAAGCAGAAATGGCCTGAAGGATAAACAAAAGTACAAGTAGTTACCACCAGGGAAAGAAGGAACTCGACAAACAGAGACTCATGATTTGCTATCAAGGTTGTCTTGTTGTCAGAAGGTTGTCAGATGACCTCCCATTTTCTGAATTCCCTGTGGTAAAGGTTATTTGCAAATGCTTAGTAAATATAACTTCTTAACATTCTCTCTGTGACTTGTCATTGTAACTTGAAACAAATAAATAAACCTTTGATCTGATTGGTTTATTTAATCTTTTTCCAGATTTCATGGTGATATCACAAAATCTTGACACTACTCTTGAACTCTTCACCTTTGAATCTGACTTGATGTATTTCATATATACCACTGGGATTCATGTCCTCTAGTTAAACTTCAGCATACAAGAAAGGTAAATAGTATGAGTTTTTCAGCTAAGAAGCCATTCTGAAGGCAAATCATGGTTTCTGTCTTTCTTTATATGCACTAAAATTCTTGTAGTTCATTCCAATTTCAATATTCACAATTCTATTGATACGATCACACTCTACACAATTCCCTATCTGACGTTTTGCAAAAACTCAGTACAATTACAAGCATTTGGTAACAGTTACAATTCATTTATTATAAATGTGAGCAACATTGCTGTGAATCATAATTTACATAGTACCAAAAAAAAGAACAGATGAGTAAATCTGAAAAACGTTCTATGATGAAGCAGCAGTCCATACCAGAGAGAGGACAAGGATGACCCTAACAGAGCAGGAGGAAGAAGCTTTTTGGATAGAAAACTTCAGACAGAAAGAATTCAGTAAATAGCATGTCTAAAAAAAATACATAAAGAATGGAAATGTCAAAAAAAGAAAAAAAAGCTATTTGTAATCATAGAATTGTAGAATACTCTGAATTATAACTTGGGTTGAAAGGGATTCACATGGATCACCGAATCCAACTCCACACAGGACAACTCAAAACCCAAACCCAATGTCTGAGAGCATTGTCTAAAAGCTCCCTGAACTCTGGCAGCCAAAGGCTGTAACCACTGCCCTGGGGAGCCTGTTCAAGGTCCCAGCCACTCTATGGTGAACAACCTTTTCCTAACACCCACCTGACCTTCCTCTGGCACAGCTCCATGATATTCCCTTAAGTCCTGTCAATATCACCAGAGAGCAGAAATCAGAGCTGCCCTTCTATTCATTTCGTGAGAAGCTGCAGGCCACCATGAGGACTCCCCTCAGCCTCCTCTTCCCTGTGCTGAACAAACCTACGAGCCTAAGCTGTTCCTCTCACACCTTGCCCTCCAGACTCTTTGCCATCTTATAGCCCTTCTTTGGATGCTCTCTAATAGTTTAATGTCATTCTTATATTGTGGCGCTCAAATCGACACTCAATGCTTGAAGTAAAGCCAGGACAGACCATTCCTTGCCCAACTGGCAATGCTGGGCCTGACGCACCCTAGGATATGGTTGACCCTTTTGGCTGCCAAGGTACATTCCTCACTCAAGTTCAACTTGTCATCAATAAGTTCTGTTTAAAACAACATCAGTGAATATTTTCTTTATGTATTTCCTATTTCCATTACTTTCATCCTGCTTTTTGTGTTGTTCATGTAGGAGAAATCCCCGACATGTACAGACTGGAAAAAGAACTGATGAAGAGCAGCCCCATAGAGAAGGACTTGGGGATTGTGATGGAAGAAAAGTTGGACATGAGCCAGCAGTGTGCTCTTGCAATCCAGAAGGCTAACTGCATCTTGGGTGACATCAGAAGTGAGGTATCCAACAAGCAGACTGAGGGAATTTTCCCCTTCTTCTCTGTCCTTATGAGGCCACATCTGGAGTACTGCATGTAGACTTGGGGCTCCAAGCAAAAGAAAAACGTAGAGCTGTTTCAGTGAGTTCGGAAGAGGACATGAAGATAATCAGAGGGATGGAGTACCTCTCTTATGAAGAAAGGCTAGGGGACTAGCTCAGGGCTAGCTGAACTCTGCTCAGCCCAGAAAAGAAAAGTTTTGGGGGAAAGCTCTGTAAGACCTTCCAGTACGTAAAGGGAGCTTATAAAATACACAGAGACCAACTTTTTACACAGGCTGACAGTGATGAGGGGGAATATTTCTAAACTAAAAGAAGAGAGAATTATGTTGGATGTTAGGAGGACATTCTTTATTCAGGGAGTGGTGGAGCACTGGCACAGGCTGGCCAGAGAAGCCATGGATGCTCCATCCCTCAAGGCTTTCAAGGACAGGTTAGATGGGACCCTACGCAGCCTGATCTAGAGGGTAGCAGCGTTGCCCACTGCATGGGGGTTGGAACTGGATCATTTTAAGGTTCATTTCAACCCCAACCATTTTATGATTTTATGATATGATTATATGATAATTGCTAATAAAATAAAGGAAAATGGAGATAAATAAAAACTATAGATCTTTACATCTTAGATGTACTACATGAATAATTGCATTTACTGGACATCATTTAAAAAGTTCAGTGTTTATAATTACCCATATTTCCATCATCTGTTCCACTGTACAATTTCCTTTCTCAGACATGAACTGAATGTTTTGTTTGCGCTACATCATTTGCACATTTGATCAAGGAATATAAGGCTCTATCAAATCTCAAAGAGTTTTAGATAATACAGGAGTTTATTTTTCTAGGTATGATTTGCATTATAACCATCTGCAGTTCTTCCTAGTCTGGGAGAATTTTATTTGTGAGGAAAAGAAAGAAACACACTTATCTTTAATATATGATCATTAAATAAATATCTTTAATGCAGAAGATTTGTTATATTAAGCAGTATTAAAAATTTATCAGTCTCCTCCTTTATTTTGAAAGGCTGTGTACAAGTGGGGAAGTAGAATGATACTAATGTAGAAAGGTATAAATAGTAATCAAATGTTATCACTCTTTACAAATAAAAGCTTCATTATTTTATTTGTTACCCTGCCCATTCTCACAAAAGATAAATTAATTCTGATTCCTTGTTTATTTTGAGTGAGATTTTTTTTAGTTGTCTTCTGTAGGCATACAACTCCATCTAGCTTTCCGTGAGATCAGAGTGCCAACTCATCTTTTCAACTCTACTTCTTTAGAGAGCCCTAAAACTCCAATTTGTCCAATGATGCTCACACTGCTAATGAAGGGATAACATACAACTGAGCTTATCCAACTTCTAGTAACAACCAGATGTATGGAACAGATTTGTTAGCAAACAAATATGCGGTACAATGAGAAATGTAGAAGTTGGCTTTGAGGCCAACAATGCTTACATTTTGAAGGAAAAAAGAAGTCTAAGAAAATGAACTGTAATAAGATAATATGTTAAATGAGTGGTGGATCATGAAGATTTAGGTCTATTAATCTGAAAGAAATACTAATTAGCAGTACTCTCAAATAAACCTACACCAAATCCTGTCCTAGTTATTCTTGATCAGTCTCCCATCACAGTTAGAAATGGGAAAACAATAGTAATCTAGGATGATTTGTTATATCAGCAAAGAAAGGTGGAAAGGGACTTCTGTATAAAATTTTCCCCAAAAACTAACAAGAATCCATGGCAGTCATACAAAGAAACAAACTCAGAAAAGAAAGTAGCAATTTAATTAGTCTCAAAGTGAAAGAATGGAAAAGATCAGTTCAAGATCCCCAGACTAGATCCATGTACGTCACTCCAAAAGTAATGTTTTCCCATTTATTTACATGGAAAGTACAACAGGTATAAAGAGCTCAATACCACTATTTGATAGAACAAGTTCTCAGCTACAAAATTTTACCACCATTAGCAATGTGTTTTCTCCAGCAATGATCATGTTGCACTCACAAAAATCTGCACCAGTGGTTTTTAGCACAGTTAGGTGGTGGGTGGTGTGTTGCAGCAGTGGCAACAGTGTTCAGCTCTGCTGGCTTGGTCTCCATTTACATTTAGCAAGCATTGATGAGGGTCAATGGGTGTGATTTTTTTCTACACGAAGGAATTCAACAACACACCTTTGCTTCATATGTACTTCCATATCAGACATCATTTTATCAGACTGCCTCTCTGCTGCCATCGTCTCATGGCAATACAATGTATTGGAATAATTGTGGGAAGTTCCAGTCTCTACTGCCACACCACCAATATCTACCTCTGATATCAAGGGCCGTCATAATAAAATAGAAAGCATTATTTTTGGAGCAGTCCTCTTAAAACAAATTAGTATGTATTTCTTAAAAACAAACAAACAAACAAACAGAAGTATGTGTTCCTAAGGCTCTTGATCGTTGTCAGCTGACCATTTGTACTACATCAACATTTGCTGAAATTGTATTTAAAAAGCCCTGCCTTAGATCCAATGCCGAGAAATTTCTGAGGAGGCAGTGTTCATCTGTATTCAAAGGACTGTGTTAATGGTGAAATGGTTTTCTGATGCTCGCATAATGTTCCTCAGAAAAAAAACTGAAATCAGGTGAGCAGCATGAAATCTTTTGTACATAATTCTCACAGATTTGTTAAACGAAAACAAGCAAGTTTTCGTTTGAATCCCACTCCTGTGTAAAATTCATTTTCATGCAGTTGCTCTCTTCTCACCAGTTTTGTTACATAGAAGCCATGGGCTCTACTGGTATTAATCAAGCAATACTGGATTATCTAAACTGATAAACAGCTCTATAAATCTCAGATGCTCTGCTGCCAACAGGTGGTAAGCTGCTACTAATCACTGCAAACAATTTTGCAGCAGGGGCATCAAGATGCTACAGATACGGATGGTGCAAAACAAATGGACTTCAGAAGTTCCTGGGACCACACACTAGGTTCATTCAGGCCATGTAGCAGCCATCAGATAGCAACTATTTTGTCACCAGTAGTACAGAACATAATGGAATACATGTCCTGGAGCTCAAAAGCTCCATATCTCATTAACTATCCCCTGAGTCATGCTTGTCACCACTAGCTTTAAGTTTTAATTTCCTTGTTTCCATTTGTTGTCAAGGCTATTTGACTGTATCTCTTTTGTATTTAATCAGTAGTACCAATGCATTTGATGAGATTATGTTGCTAACCTGGTTCTCCAGGAAGTCACACACACAGAACTGTTTATACAAGAACAAATTAAGTACAGCTCTTTACTTTGAGATAGAAAAATAACTAGTCCTACAAAACATAGCATCTTTAGCAAAAGCGCTTTGTAGAGCTAGATTATCAAATGTAACAGTTCAGTGGTTCAATTCATACCTGATGGGCTTCAAAGAATATATATGCAAATTGATCTCCCAGCTGCAAGGGTAATTAACATGGCCTGCTGCAGGGGGCTGTTCTTCCACCCATTCTGTTTCATTATTATTTTAGTGACTTTACATTTTTCTCAATCCACTGTCTTTTGGTATGGAAATAGATTTAACTTCCTGCTTTATGTAAACTTCATTACACTACAATCAGCAGGGAATCTAGCCTGTTGGAAGTGCTAATGTTTGAAAGCCACTACTGCCTGACATAGACCTTGGCACTGTACAAGCACTGTTTTTATTTTCCTGAGTTTGCCCAAAACAGTACTTATAATATTTTAAGGTACACGATAAGCCTTTTTATTCTCTCATGTTTAAACCAGTTTAACAGTATTGAACAGTAGTTGTTCAGTATTGAACAAACAGTATTGAAAGCTAGCAAAGGACCAGAGAAGACAAAGAGTCTTGGAATGTGTTGTTTAACCCATTATTCACTAGGGTATTCAAATCAAGCTTACATTCAAACCAATGGACTTACTTTAACAAAGCAGAAGGGGTACAGCTCTAAGTTTATAGCATTTCAGGCAGTACCAGACCCACTGACAGTATACTAGGTCATGAACTGTGGTTCTGTTTTCATAGAGAGATATTCCATGTGTAATACATACTCTAAAATGTTCCCCATATGGTTATGAGGGAATACCAATATTATTTTCCCATTATATAGTAAGAGAAAAAATGTACAGGGAAGCAATCACATTACACATGCCTGGAAAAGCTATAGTCATAAAAAGATTAATGTGTTGGGATACCTTTCATAACGAGAAACTTCTGTAAGAAGCCATTTCGACAAATTATAAAGCAAAATCATATGTTAAATCATTTTAAGCAAATATTTACAAGAAGACATAAAGTAACAGTTATATCTATAATTCATAAGTGGCTCAAATTTCCTTTGCAGAAGGTCACAGAAGTCAATTGATTTAGTACAGGGATAAATGTAATCCAGGCCACTGCATGTTTCCATGTTACATGCTATACATTTTTATATCAAAGTTAGGTATTGCTGGGTTTGGGGTTTTGTTTTGTTTTTTTTGGTTTGATTTGGTTTTGTACTTTTTTTTTTTTTTTGACAAAAGCATTTACAAGCGTCAAACAAAATGTAATTCAGCATAGGTCAGACTGAGTGGGACTCCGAGAGCTCTGATGTAGCTGTAGGTGACCCTCTTCATTGCAAAGGAGTTGGATAAGATGACCTTTTAGGATCCTGTCCAACTCAAATAATTCTGTGATTGCATGATTCTATGTACATGTAAGTGTACATGAACACGACCACACAATCATGTGAAATCATGTTGGGAAAATCAGTGTGTGATTTTTTTGTTAATAATTCAGGCAATTTCCTCATCAAATCAGTGTCAACTACAAATATATAAAAAAAATCCAGTCTGTATGTTACCAATTTTATGCCAGGTCCTTGAGGGTCATGTCATGCCCTGTATTTATCCTCATCTGATGTCAGAATGCAAAACAACTGAAAGAGGTCTTCTATTGCCTACACACTGTACACAGTATACACAGTACTTAACAGAGGTTAATTGAATATATGCTTAAAGGACACTGGAGAGAGTGGGAACAAAATCTGTACTGTACAGGTGGATAAGGACAGTCCTGACCTTAGATATCATCTCTAGATCATTCCAGAAATTAAGTAAATGGATCATGAGAGAGAAAAAGACAAATATGCAAGAGAGAATGGGAGAAAGAGAGAGAGAGAGATAACCAGCTGTTTGAAATAATTTTATATTGATGAAGATATATTATTTTCAACACTAATAGATGGGAATTTTCAGTTGCATCTTATAGAATTAGGTATCTATTTCCCTTTGAGTTTTATTGCTGGTTGAGAGTTTATCTTTCTTAAACTCCATAGAATAAACCAATCTGCATTTTGGTCTGCGAAGGAGACTTCATAAATCACATGTTGCTGGTATGGCAAATTGCACATTTATGAGGCAGTTTCTGGCAAATTAGCTGGTGTGTATCACCACATCTTCAAATTCAAGTGATTTGGACATGGCCCATAATGAATAAGACATTCCAGCAACAGAACACCGATTTTGCATTATTATAAACCAGGGGTTGACAGCAGAATACCGATTTTGCGTTATTATAAACTGGGGACTGAATGTTACTGCTTCTGGAAAGTGTTCAACAATAATTTGCTGGCAGTTGCAGCTGAAAAGCCAAGGACTGGGGAAGCAGGGAGGCTAAACGTGTCTTTCAAAGAGAAAGGACAATGCTGAGAAATGCTTCCATGTCTGTGCAGGGGCTGAGTAAAGCTTGTTACTCATGCATCATGAAAGAAGAAAGGTTGAACCTTCAGTGTGAACAAACCTCCAAGTTTCATATCCCACAGAATTCATCCTTTAAAATAATTATAAAGAAAGCAGAAGACCTGTAACATGAGTCCAAAATGCTGACAGGATAAGAAAACAGCCACAAGCAGGGACAGATTTTTCACCTATTTCCAGTTCTGCTGTAGAGATTAAAAAACTGAAGTGATCAACGAAAATCCTACTTCTGTAATTTTCCACTGTCTCTGCAAAACAGCTCTTCAAATGCTTGACCTTGAATGCAAAAATAATCTGTCCTTTATCAGTCATGTTTTTTCATGGCCTGGCTAATGGCGTCAAATTTACATTCTGCTTTATTGTGGAGCTTCTTGTGATAATAAATT